TGAACACAAAACCTTTTTTGCGAATTCAATCTTGTAGATTGTAATAATTATTTGAATTTCTGTTTTTTTTCACAGATTTGGGATTCTTCTGAGAGATCTGCAACAGTTCTCTAAATAAATCAGAATGCTGACACCTATTCAAAGTCCATATCATTTATTTTGATTATTTTTTTTAATTATTATTCTGACATCGACTGCTGAGGTCATTAGCTATTTTGATTATTTTTATAAATTTCAAAGTTAGGTGTACAAATTGACGTCAATAAATATCCTTCTTCTTTTGTGCAGTCATAGACTTTTTCGTAGTGATTAAAGTAGAGAGAGAAATGAGTTGCAGACAGGGATACCCGGCCTGCCCTAGAGATGGCAGTAGTTGTTTGAAAAATATCACGATATTCGAAAGTACACAATCTAAAAAGCATGTGTTTCAAGTTTGAAGACGCTGAGTTGTTTAGTATTTGATTGTCAGTCATCAATAGCGAACGTAAGTTCTTGTATATTTAAATATAATAATCTATCTGTGCCTGGTTTTGGCTAAGAAGACATAGTGCTCATTTAGGTAAATAATTTTGAGAATCATCCTTCGGGATAAATTCCAGCTTTTAAGTTCTGCCAAGTGAAAGCATAAAAGGATGAAATTATACAGGCATGAAAAAAAATCACCTAGAAATAAGAACAACTAAAAACATAATAAATTGGATGAAACTATGACACTGAAAACAATTGAAAAAACGACGATATCGATGATTGTTCCAAAATTATCACGCATATAGATGTGTAGCTTGTGTAGGTCAAATTACTGAATTCGTTCTAAAATGTTACTACATTTACGACTTGTGAGGAACGATTCTTATTGTAAATTTTGCCTCTTCATTTTTTGGATAATGTTTCCTTTATCTCAAAATTATTCGAAATGTCAGTTGGAAGTTTTTCGAAATTGAATGACAATACTTCAGGATTTCTACTTGGTCTGAAATTTCCACTTCTGTTTCGAATTTGTTCGGAAATTTATATTGTTGTTATAATTGAATGATATAGATATAGAAAAGAAATACTTTGTCTAATTTCCACTTACTTAATGTATTAATACGACCAAGGTTTCGGTTTCTACACCATTTCCAAGTATTCTAAATGGCGAAACACGTGTTGCGTTTTTGTAAAACTATACTTCGAAATTTCTACCGGTCTGGCCTGTATATACTGCAGAGCATTCACTACATTCTAATCTATATATGCCAGATTTCTTCATTCTGTCACGTCTAGTTTTTGTATTAAATATGATTTTGCCTAAATTATTATTACTTATATCAATACATTAAGTAAGTGGAAATTAGACACAGTATTTTATTTCTATATCTATATCATTTAATTGAAGATGAATTTCCACATTCAAATTCAGTAATTGATTTCATCATTCGATTTATCAAAAATATTCTCATCCAAAAATGAGAAGGGCTCCAGTACTTGCCATATAACATTCAGACAATCCATTTGGAGGGTCAAAGCCAATTCTAATCGTTTTAAAATAATAATACTAACATTAATAATAATTCATTCTCGAACAAAAAATAGATACCTACATATAAAAAATGTATTTTCAGTTACAACAGGTACCCCTCAGGGCAGCGTTCTTGGGCCACTAATATTTTTATTATATGTAAATGATCTTCCTCTCGATATAAGTCATGGAAAAATATTTCTCTATGCAGATGACACGACTATCATTCTTTCTGGTAAAACATCTGACGATATGACACAAATGGTAAATGCTGTTCTAATCGAATTTAATGGGTGGTGTAACAAGAACACACTCATTGTCAACCAGAACAAAACGGTATACATGCAATTCGCGAATTCATCGATAAGTCAACATAATTTCAATCTCAGTTTCCAAAATAAACCTTTAGAACTGACCAGCTCGACAAAATTCTTAGGAACTATGGTTGACTCACTCCTCACATGGCAAGAACATATAGATTATATATGTAAGAAATTGAATCAATCATACTATCTGATGAAATCTCTTGAGTGTAAGTTAGATACAAATTCACTGATATCAGTTTATTATGCCAAATTTCACTCGATCATGTATCAGAACATTTCGGTCTGGGGACTAGCTACTGGATCAGACAGGATTTTTATAAAACAAAAATCACTGCTGAGGTTGATATTTAATTTAGACTTTAGAACTTCATGTAGGAATATATTCAAACAAAATAAAATATTGACAGTTGCAAGTCTGTACATTTTAAAAACATTGACATATGTACATGAAAATATAGAACTTTTCCAAACAGAAACAGAGATGCATAGCTATAATATAAGAAGAAAAGATATGAAAACACCATCACGCAAAATATGAAAAATCTCCTAAATTTGCCGGCATTTGAATGTATAATTTACTGCCAAACGATATAAAGACTCTGTCTCCTCATATCTTCAAAAAATAATTTAAACGTTATTTATCAGAAAAGGGTTTTTACACAGTAGACGAATTTACACTTGAAGTAAGCAATGAGCGATCGTATTTCTTTTGAAAACTTTATTTCAAAATGTCCTTGTTACCTCTCCTTGTTTATTGTTTCTAAAGCAAGCTGGTGATTCATATTTTTCCTAGGATTTTATATGATGCCTGGACAAAATTATTTTTATTGTGAAACCTAGTTCACTTACATTCTATCTAGACCTAGAATTTTATTTATATGTTTGTTTATACCTTTGTATGTTTATATTTATGCATGTTTATAACTACAATTATGACTTATTCCATCTACACATCATGTAGCAAAAATGATCAATAAATCTATCTATCTATCTATTATTACGCCTCAGTCAAAGACGAAACGGACTGGTTTAAGTTTGACGATAGTCGTGTCACGAAGTGTTCTGTCGATGTCTTGAATTTTTTGGAGCCTCTGGAGACACCCTACATGTTGTTTTATGAGAGAGAGGACACTGGCAGATCAAGCTCTTCAGATGGTGTGGTTTTTCCGGGTTTTCCTGCGCTGAAAAGGCAAATGCGTCACTGGAATCAATAAAGTCGCCCCGGAGCGCCAATTAATTTTTGTTGTTCCATAATTTCATGATTTGTATTCAAGATATGTTAAAATATGTTTTCATAGAAATATTAAATTACTTCTTAGAAATGTATCATTTACAGATTTGCAAATTTAGTTTCTGCGAACCCCCGTGCGACAACTATTTACAAGCAAAAACGATTCAATTTATGAATTAATTTCAAAATATGTTCATGAACAATCTGAAATCAACAACTCACTTTCTAGATGCAATTCCTCCGGTCATCCTATCTCTTATAAATGAAATCGAGCTGTGCAGAACTTGTGATGGCCCACTCAAGTCTTGCTCTGTTTCATCGAAGATAAATACTCACACCGTTCTGGGCAACTGTTCAAATACCAGTAGCTCTAAGTTTTTGTTACAAGCCGTGTCAGAGATATAAGAAATAAAAAGAATGTTCTTCGGTATTCCATGAAGCTCACACCATAAACCGTCCGGTTATATTGGATGTTTCTTTTCAATTATTTGTGGGACCGGGATTGCTTTTGTCTATCAGTGATAGTGATAATTGTATCTGTTTCAGTTTGAAATCTATTTCTATTTTATCTGTTGAGAGAAAATTCATTGTAGACTATATACCATAACGGAATGAATTCGAATATTTCAAAAAATTGTTGAGATTTGTGTTCTAGACACGAAAATTAATGGATATCTAACAAAAAGTGAAAGTAGAGGAAATCTAGCAATTGAATATGATGAAGTATACAACTCTGTTCAAAATTTTGGCAAAAGAACAGAGAACATTACGAATAAATAGTTATTGTTTAATAAATTGGTGGATGTAGCCGTTACTACGTGGTAGGAAAACATAATGAAGAAAAGAAAATGAAAATTTCTATGTTTTTTACCACTTTTATTTGTAACTAATGTTACTGAAGTTTCGTCCTTTAAGGACATTTTCAAACTTATACTTAATGTCCTATAAGAACATACTTATTGTATAAGTTTGAAAACCAGAACCAAACTCAATGTCCTATAAGGACATACTTAATATATAAGTTTGAAAATGTCCTTATAGGACAAAACTGCAGTAACGTTAGTTACAAATAAAAGTGATAAAAAACAAATTAGAAAGTTTCAATTCTCTGTTCTTCAGTTATTATTCAACTAAGCAACAATAATTGATACTATACAATTTCATTTACTTGAATTTTTTGTTATGTTCTGTGTTATGTTCATTATGTTCTAAGTTTTGACGTATTCTAAAAACACTTTATTGTGTGATTTTCACTAGATAGTTTTACAAAAACGCAACACGTGTTTCGCCATACAATGGCGAAGTAGTTTTGTAAATAGAAAGACCAATTCCACATTTGCAAACCACCTTTCAGCAGAAGGACATGAGTTCAATCATGAATACGATGTGTTACATTTAGAAAAGAAGAGTTTGAAGCACAATCTTCTAGAATGTTTAGAAATCAATAGATTCAGGAATTCGGGTAATTTACTGAATGATCAAGACACGCCCGAGGAAGCCATTGTATGGCGAAACACGTGTTGCGTTTTTGTAAAACTATCTAGTGAAAATCACACAATAAAGTGTTTTTAGAATAAGTTAGTTATGGATTTTCAAGTATCAGCCGATTCCATCTAATATTCTAAGTTTTGATCTGTAATGCGATTTAATTAATAATGTTGGAGTTAAAATAATTATAAAATTCTGAATTTTGCATTTCTTCTGAGTAGGTATATCTGCCTTCAATTATATTTTCCACAAAAATGTACTCGTAGTTCATTGATCAGATTATTTTTTGGTCTTTGAGAGAGTAGCATTTTTTCGTCTAGTCAGGGAAGAATCACATCGTTGTTGTCATTGTAAATATGAAAATGGTATGGTATGGTTTTGATAAAAGCAGTTGATCTAGCTGCGAAATAACGAAAGCTGTTTGACATGGAGTTAGTTGACATTTTGATTTTTGAAATTATATGCATAGTTTTTGTTCGCAATTATCGCAAATAATTATGGAAAGCAGCAGCGATTGTGAATTTGAGAATATGCCTTGGGAAATTTCCAATGCAGCAGCTGCTGCTACATCATATTCATTGGCTGAAAATCAAAGTCGAGGAAATACAAAACTATAACAGAGGATGTAATTTTGACGCAAAAATCTGAAACTGTCAAATCCTCTACCTTTTGGACCATGTACTCTATGTTGAAAAGTACCATTTCAGTGAAGAAAAATGTAAACAGCCACTTTTCTAAAGGTTATCGCATTTCTTAAAAAGAAAAATGTTCGTTTTAGAGTAAAGAAATCAGAAACGTTCAACATCGAGCAGATCAATAAATTCAATGGGTAAGCAAATAATGAAACATATCTAATGCTAAAGGTTATTTTTACAAAATAGTACGATTATAGGAATTAAAAGTATCAACTAAATTTGCTTTATTTTCAGGTAGCAACAATAACTGGAAAGAACTAACAAAGATGTCAATTGATCTAATAAACGAAAAGTGCGGCATGTTGCTTGTGAAAATACCAGATTCCAAAACATAAATTGAAAGAACCTTTGTTGTAATTGGGCAAGAAAACCTGCTGTTTTATTGGCACTATTTATCTTTTTGGGCGATCCCATACTCCACGTAACAGACTATTCGTGAATTACAAAAAAGACAAATGTTTGATTTAGCCTGTTGGTATCGACAGTTTTGTAAATCACGGATCAAGAATCGCAGAAATTTTTGAATTTATTCAAAATGGAAATTTACACAGCTCATAGCATTCGTCCAACAGAAGAAGAAAGAATTTTTTTATCGTATAACTATAGAGAGGAATCCCTTATCATGTTTTATTGATTTTCATCGTATACTTTCAAAACAAAAATCAACCTTGATCCGAAAGAAAGAATGGAGCATGACACGAGGCTATAAAAATATGATTAAAAAGTTCAAAAGTTCCGCTTTCAAGTGTTTCATGTCTGCAATACCGAACCTAGACTAATATCTCATACTTATGAATGAATCATCTTCAAAAGGATAAGTGATTATTTCAATAAAACTCTGCTACATGTCATTGGACGTGTTCGGACTCCGTAATATTTATGTATAAGAAGTTTATAAAGAAAGAAGTTGTGTAGAACATTTCAAAACAAATAATAACATGCAATTACGTTCAATATTACGTGTCTGGAAACTCATACATAAAACATATCACTTATATAAATGTGTATTAATTGAGGGTTTTCGATTCTTAAAATTTCACTTAGGTATTTTGGTTTCGTGTTGACTGGAACAGATAATAACTTGTTTGTATGAATGTGCATCACACACCAATGGAAGTTTCTGCAAAAATATCTGTTTGCTTGAAGAAACCAGGGAGCGATAATAGTAATGATATTTATTAATACCAAGAAACAAAAAATGCTTGTAACAGGGATGAAATTCAAAATAATGATGGAAGAAATTATTTCAATTCTAACATATCGATTGAATGATAAACATAATTTTGATAGCTATTTAATTGAATAAAAAATATAAAAGACATTTTTGGGAGATAAAGATTTTGGCATCCTACTTTTTCCATCTTTGTCCAATAATCAATCTCTCTCTTGAAAAAGTGCTCCTTTCGATTTATGAAAGACGTGAACTTCATAAAGAAAATCTGTACAAGTACTATTTCTGAAGCAATCGAACAAAAATCTAAACACTTCGCATAAGAATTATTTTCAAAAATGATATTGTTACGTTTTCCCGTAGGTTTAACGATAATTAGCAACACTTTACAATTAAACTTAACTTTATTTCGCTGGTACACTGACAATGAACCAACAGCTTCAACTAAAACTTCAAAATAATATTCAAATGTATATCGCCTCATTAGAGCACTTCGCACCCCACTGTTAACTAGACTTTCTCCGGTATGCGTGTTGCTAGTGTTAATATATGTCAATCGAAGTCTTAGGCAGCTGATAGAATTGATTTCGAAGCGACACGACACTCAGAATGATCTAGAAACATAAGTTAAGTTGAGCGCGACAAATCACAATCGATTGACGAAGAACAGCGGCGGCCGACGTTATTTTTTTTAGGGGATGATTTGATAGAATTTTTTCTATAAAATACATTCTTTCTGAAAAGAACTGCTGAAGGTCTTGATACGTGCTGGAGATTATTCTTTCTGAATATTGATAATGCAGAAATTTTCTGTTACTTAATCTCATGTTCCCACTTATGACATTTTATTGTGATACCCTGGAAGGATTGGACACTGTATACTGATCTGTCAAAAAAGTACTGCACAAAATATGTTCTTATTATAAAGCCGTCAAAGTAAGCCTGTTCCGAATTAATATACCCACGCCAACGAACAATTCAATCATCAAAGCATTTTTTAACGCATTTTTTTTTAATCGGCTTCAGTACTCGCTGCGAATTCTCTTTTATGTCATCCAAAGTCTATCCAAATCCAAGATAGAGTAAAACAAAACCGAAGCGTGATGTTCACGTGATCGCCCAGTATCAGATGGAAAGGGCAGCGTTCATTGGTGAATTCGCCTTCTTGGTACGAGTTTGGTACCAGCACAGGGTTGTAATCAGTCGTTTGCGAGTTTGTGTGGCGTGCGTTATAGTATATTGTTTAAATTTGTTTTCCAAGATGTCCAGTACAGACACTGCTGATGACACTGTAAGCTATCCTCTGGGTCCAGCCAGAAAACGATCCAAAAAAAGACATTTGAGTGTTGAGATGAAAGAAGTGATTTTAAATGTGTTCAAGAGAGAGATGGAAGAAATTGAGACATCGACTGTGGACGAAGTCGTATCGAAAGTTTCCGATAAAATTGGAGTGTGTTGCGCTTCGATTTACAATGTTTTACGGGAATATAAACAAAACCATACATTTTCCAAACCGAATACAAATCAGAATCGTCAAACCAATATAAAATCAATACATGATGCTGATAAACATGCAATCAGGAGGAAAGTGCATGAGTACTTTTTCAGAAATGATATACCCACGATAGACAAAGTACTCACACAAATAAATGAAGATGTTTTATTGCCAAGTTTTAAGCGGTCAACATTCCATAAAGTATTGAAACATTTGAATTTTGTATGGAAAAAACGAGGGCGCAATAGTTTATTATTGGATAGAGAGGAAGTTTTGTTATGGAGGAGAGAGTATTTGGCCAAAATTAAATATTATAGGGAACAACAGAGAACAATTTATTATATGGATGGAACCTGGGTTAATGCTGGTCATACTACCCCTAAATTATGGGTCGATGAAACTGTGACCTCATCTAGGAGGGCCTTTCTAGATGGACTATCCACCGGATTAACAAATCCATCAGGTAAACTTATATTTATATTAAGACCTGCCTCAATCTCAATATATAAAAAGTAACCCTCGTATTTGTTTTATTTACTTACATACCTCTTCATAATTTCAGGTAAAGGAAAACGGCTTATTATTTGTCACATCGGCAATGAGAATGGGTTTGTTGCTGAAGGGCTGTGGTGTTTCGAGTCGAAGAAAACTGGAGATTATCACGAAGAAATGAACGGTGAATCTTTCGAACAGTGGTCTGCCGGAGTCATGTCAGGTGAATACGGTGTCTGTTCAATTGGATTGCTTTAGTTTTGGCAGATAGTCGTACACATAAGTTTTCTTAACACATATCTGGTCTTTTTCAACGAATTTGTTCCTACGTACTTCATTCATCAATAGAAAATAGCATACTGAAGATAAAAAATTCAAATCTCGCGTTAATTTTGGGACTCCTTTTATTGAACTATCATGCTTTCAGTAGATATCAACGAAGATATATTTTTTGCCTATAAATTTAACAATTATATATCTCCATTGAAGTGAGGGGCACAATTCAAAATATATATCACAATAAGCAGTCAGACTTTCCAGTCTTTTCGGCTTTGAGTACAAAAAAAAGTAAACATGAAGAAAGTAGGAAAATTTCCAGAAAAAGCAATATATGAGGTGTACTTCTCTAACTCATCAACGTAGCCATTAGATATATTATCGAATAATACTAGGAAAGTAGGAAAATGATAGAAATATTGGTCATGTGTGCCAAATCTACCAAATAAAAGGAAGATTGCAAAGATATTACTTCATTACCGTTATTGATTCATTTTTAACAGCAAAATCAAAATTTTTTCATAAAATGTCCATATTTCCATTACAAATTTTTTTATCTGCATAGAAACTCAAACTGACACACGAAGTGTAACGATCGACACCATTTACGAAGATCATCATGTATATCAACTAATCTAATTTATATCCAATTCACAAATTGATGTAAATTCATAGATATTGTATCAGTAATTCATCCCAAAAAAAATAATTTAGTTAAAAGCAAATATGCAGATTGCTCCGATAAGACATATGAATCGAAAATAAATTAATTTCCAATCTGGCTCTCTCCCCTTTGGAGTAACTTCGACACCCTAAAGTGTTATGCTTATTGATTCTAAAAACTGCCAATTTCATTTTAGAATAGTTATCGGTTTCTAATTTTCTAATAATTTAGAATCATATTTCTTATGAATCAGTATGACTTTTCCAATTTTAATAGCATTTGGAAATGAACCCGTTTGAAAAGATAAATTCACCAAATGAATTAGGATAGCAATAATATCCTCGAGGACGTCCCTCAAAATAAATCCTGGGATCTCATATGATCCAGCAGGATGATTATTTTTTATTCTTCTCTTTGAAAGTAACAAAGTTCTCTTTCGGAAAACGGTTGCAAGAACATGATCACGTTATTGAAATCGTTATTACGCTTGAGATAACTGATTTTAGGAATATTGTTTGATAGATTATTAGGAATGTTGATGAAGAATTGGTTGAAGAAGAGAGAAGCTATTTCAGATGCATCTTCTGTCTCTTCTCTGTTATTATTGATTACTATATTTTGGTCAGTGTTCTTATACTTGTTCGGTAATTCTGAAATAATTGGCCAAGATGTCCAATAATTGGTAAAACTGGACTGACTCCAACGGCGTTTATTTCTATTGAATTGAATGAGTATTCATAACGGACAAAGCGTTCGAAACAAGCCGAAGTAACAACAATATTCATAGAGACAAAAGCTAGTAAACTAGAGACAAGGCAATCAAGCAACCCAAGCAGTTAGCAGAAGTATATTGTATAAACTCCACAGCGGCCGGTCAGGCATTTCACAACAGAACACGTTTCATTTTTTTCGAAACGACTGTTGCATAATTCTCCGGTTTGATTACTTCCTCCTCCACTCCATATATTAATCACTACCTCCACAACCTAGCCGAGCTGCATGATGAGCCAACAAATTCCAAATGATCAACGTTAATTCTCGACGAACATTATTAAAAACTCGCTACAAAACAACGTAATTTAATTAAATAATAATGATACAGCATTTATAAGATACACGGCAGCATTCCCATAACAGGCTTTTTTTTACAAGCCGTCTCTGTTTCTGTGCTTCTGTCAATCTTCTCCGTTGCATTTGATGCGACAAATTAAAACAGGTAGACATAGACATACTTTATTTGACTACGTTCATGTAATTTGCATTTGTAGCAAGTCATATTACAAAAAATGTATTCAAAAATGAATTGCATTTGTATTTCCAGAAAGAAAAAAAATCATGGAGTCAGTCAGAAACACTGAATATACAGCATGAACAATCAAACTCAACAAAACATTAATAACTCAAATACGAATAAAGTTATTAAAAAAAACTAAATATCTGAACATTCTCATGCGAATGGGGGTATCTAAATATTCTGCAATAGTGTAAAAACTTGAGCTGATGAGGAACTGTTTCACCTTCTGATTTAAACAATTGTTGGACAAAGATTTAACTTCCCTAGGCAAGTGATTGTGAAGAATTTTATTGGGAGAGTTAGATATTCATAGCTTCATTCAATCTATATCTCATAGATTTTC